ATCGACGATCTACACGAGACGGAGAAGACCAATCAATACATCCTAGGGCTGAAACCGGAGGTCCAGTGTGAAATTCACATTCGCCGCCCGGCGACGTTCCTGGAGGTGCAGCAGGTCGTAGAGGCGTGGGACGAGAACAGTGCATGGTTGAGGACGGATTTCCGAGAGGGAAGTCGTTTTCGAGGGCAGAATAGTTACCCATCCATAAACGGCGAGGCGGTACCGTCAGATTACATATTTTAGGGCAGGTGTTATAAGTGTGACCAGTCGGGGCACATCATGCGGGAATGTCCGGAGTTGCAGAAATCGGGAGCTAACGACAGAAGAAAACCGGGAAATGGACAGCATCAGTAGCAATCGGGCCCCCTAATGATGAGGCTTCGTCGCCCAAAGATCACCATTCCCACCAAGTCGTAGTGCCGATCTATGCGATCGACCACACCCGGTTAAAGGGGAGTGAATCTGTTGACTGCCCTGTGCTGGTAGAAGGGCACATTGGCAACATGAAAGTAATAATATTCGTGGATGGTGGACCATCACATAGTCTGTTCGATGTGACAAGAGCGAAGAAGCTGTGGCTGCAAATGAAGTGGTGCATGCCTTGAGATTGACGCAAGGTTGGTCGACGGCACGCCACTTGCCATCTGGGAGCGGGTGAAACACGTTCGCATTGATTCCGACAGCCAAGTCAGTTTCACCTTGAAGATACTGGCGACAACTTTGGACGGCTGCGATGTGCTCTTGGGGCATAACTGGCTCCGCACGTACAATCCGAGCATCAATTAGAGGAATGGCAACATTCTTTTCAAGTGGGGTGGCGAGTGGTGACGACTGCCAAAGTGGAAACCACCCGACCCTCAGTCAACACTGATGAACAATGTGACTATCAAGCGGGTAATGGCACGTGGCGTGGACTTCTACCCCGTTCGATGGATTGCATCAACGGAGGTGGCTTAACAGATCGACCTGGAGAAGTTGTGTTTCAAAAGCCAATCTCACAGCCAAACGGTATGAAGATAGGCATCGACGGGATTTACCCCTGTCTTCCGGGCAATTCGCCCTTATGGACACCAAGAATTTAGGGTTGATTTTACCCCATAAACTCCGTCCGAGATTCTGTGGGCCCTTTCGGATTGTTCGAATGGTGACACCTGTCACCGCCAAGCTACGGTTACCGGACGACTAGCGCATGCATGATTCATTCCACGTCAGCCTCCTCCGACAGTTTGTCGCCAACACGGCTGATCTCGACCGTCAACGACTCTACCCTTCGATCAGACCCGTCCCCGAGCCAACCACCGAACCACACCATATCCTCTCCCAACGAATCCGCAAAGACCAAGGTCAACGGGTTTTGGAATTTCTGGTTCGATGGGTTGACCGGACGTGCGACGATGACATGTGGGTCCCAGCCGCTACCCTCGACAACCACTCATTGGTGCAGGCCTGTTTACATGATCGGGCTGCCCCAAACGTGGGTAGTCTCGTCTAGGGGGGGGGAATGTGTAAGGAGAATCCCTTTTCCTTATCAAGCCTCGCTAACATCGAGTACAGCCCTGACTTTTGAAAGTCCAGGCTCGATCCGACATTTCATGTTCGAACTACGTTCGAGACCACGAAGCCTACACGCGGCGTCGCATCCGACACTTCTGAGTCCCTAGGCGCCCAAACCACCTCGCGTATGTTTCGTGGCCTTCATCGAGGCTCTCTTGCTAGGCTAGCTGTGCTTGTATATAGCCCTGTGCTTCATTTGTATTCGACACACTTGAATAACGACCTCACTATTGCATTACTCGACCCCTATCATGAGATTATCATAACATCCTGTAACGAATTCCTGATTATACACCCTAAATCTCGTTTGTCTCAAATCACGTAGCATAAAAAAAACGGATACAGTCAGTGCCCAGACCGGCTTCTTATCACATTGTGAAATGGAGTTTCAAATTGCCCTAGACCAAATAAGGCTTACTGTGGGAAAATCCACAAACCTTACGGGTTGAGTTGCTGGTTCCAGAAGCTCTTCGTCGCATGAACCATCCATTCGGAACATTATGTTTCATTATGTCGGGGTTGACAGTTCATTACAGTGCGTGGGTCTTTCTGGCTATTGCGATTCCTTCGAGTGTATTTTTTTCCTCCTCACTGGTTTTCCTCCACGTGGGACCAAACACTCGTCACTCCATAGTACACCCCTACTTCTTCGGGGGCTCGGGAAAATACCCCTGGCGGTCGGTTACATGGACAGTCACGTACAATCACATTCCGAAAAAAAAAAAAAAAAAAAAAAAAAAAAAAAAAAAAACGCAGCTGGCCTAACATACACGCTTTATTCTACAAATCATATGCGATTGGTGCAACGACGACTAGCGCAAAATTTTCGCATGTGCAATTTATTCCGTAGATGCAAAACCCATGTACGCACTCGGCCAATGAAAACAGTCGCAGCCACCATGTGAAACATTCGTTACCACTATTAGAAATCTGACCGTTCCATGTCAATACGCTCCTGAGTGGTCGACGACCAGCTTCGAGCCAGGGCCTATTTTTGGATTTTTACTACTCTGAAATCAGGGAGTGCCTTTTTTCATTGCTCTGAAAATCAGAGTGCTCCCCAATGGTTTCTCTGATTTTCCAGGGTTTTTTTTACTTGTAAAAAATTACACTGATAATGCAGAGGGGTTTTTTACGTAACTCTCTACAGCAGGGTCATCATCTGTACGCGCGAGGCAAGATCGGGAGATAGGGGGAAACGAAGGGGAAGGATCGAGAGATTGCAGGGGCGGAGGGAATCGAGCTGGTAGGGAAGGTCGACACAGCAGGGGCGGGAAAGGGGAATCTTGCACTCCCTTTCGATCACAAATGGCTCGGTGTTTTTGGTGAAGGGACAATTGGCCCCCTCACACAGCCTTGAGCACGGGCCAGGCGATGATTTCACTGGTGCGCGTGACATGCCCTGTTCTACGGGACATGGGGGCACGGCTAGGTACAGGGGGCGGGGACAATTTCACGGGTATTCCCCCCTATACACTGACCATTAGAGTGGTACGAAGGTTTACTCTGATAAAATCAGAGTAAAAGGTAAATTCATCTTGTTTACTCAGGGCCCTTAGAGTAGTTTTCAAAAACGACTCTGATTTTCAGAGAAACAGAGTAAATTACTCTGATAAAATAGGCCTTGTTGCGAGCGCAATGTGTCACAAACCTAAACAAATCTCACCCTTGCGATCCACCTACTCACGGGCTGACGCGGAAACACTACGCTAGTCAATCGACACATGCCATTTGCAATGACGAAAATTTGTGGAGTTTCGTCACGTACTCCTTGTCGACGTGTACTGTAGTTTTGAAATGATGGTGGTTTCGATCATTGTTTTATTTTCTGTTTCCAACTTCATGTAGTTTGGAGTCTGTCTATAGTAGAATCAATTGACGGTATGGAATCAAATCATGTTTTGTTCTAATGGAAACACATCAATTAGCGTGCGCACCTGAAACCCAGGGAGGACACGCCATGCGAACACTTTGCGACATGCCTTCGTGGACTCAGTCGCAGCTAACGACAGCGTCCCCGCCCCTGCCAGCTGCGGATACGACAGAGTACCCGCCTATGCCAGCTGCGCATACGACAGCACTTCTACTTTCTTGGGAACGCTACAAGCAAATTTGCCCAGGGCGTACCGCCCTATGCGCTAAGTGCCTCATCCCAACATTCTTAGAGTCTACACTACGGGAGTACGACTGTAACAAGATTTAGGGTGTAGCTAAGTTTTCATCGTTCGTTGTTGTGGCCACTGCAAACGTGAAAGGTCAACATTGCAATCTGATATTTTGATGCCGAAACCTACAGAACGCGTTTCGAAGGGTTGTCCCGCATGTCAGGCAACCCCTTGTCAAATATGACCCCAGATGTTTGACACGAGGTGTCAAATTCGCCTAAGGGCGTGTCCCAAGAGTACGTCTCACAATATCTATATACGGTGGAGTACGTTTCGAGACGTTAAAAGTCGGTTCTCGTGCTTTACCGCTTCGAAACTCGAGAAACCAGATTGGACCGCATAAAATGTATGGGGGACGCACTCTTGGGACACGCCCTAATGCTCCTCGTACAAATTACGTGTCAAAAAACGTGACGAGGGAGGAAAACGATATAAGAACACGGAGTAGGAGCAGCAGTGACAATTCGAAACAGCTTTAATCTGACGTGGCAATGTCCTGCTGGAAAGGTCCTTCTCCAGAGGCATATTCTAGAGGTAAAGGTACACTCGGGCGCGTTGACAGGGGTAAAGGGCCACGCGACATCATCATGCCGAACCAGCCTGAGTGCACTGTAAGAGCAGTCCATGCAGGTCCGGCTGGACTGCAGTGCAGCTGGAAAGGAAATGCCCACTGTACCTGAGGCTCGGTGCCGAATGCCTTCCTAACCTGGGGAATATTCCCCCGAACTTACAGCACTTTAGTTGCCACGGAAACCAATGACTCTCCAGGTCGTGACGCGTGGCAAGTGCGATTATTCGAATGAGATCCTGCCGTCAAAACGCCGTGAGCCGTACCACTTATAACGTGGGTGAATGGCAAATTTGTCGTGTTGGATCATGCGGGTCAGAGCGCGCATTTCGATTCGAGGCTTGCCTGAGGTACTGTACACATACCACGCCGCCATCCAATCCCTCCCCTTCCCGGCCACTCATTTCTCTCCCAGCTTTGGTTGCCCCTTCCAATCAACGAAGGCCATCCCAAGCCAAGCGGTTTGTCGAGCCTAGCCCCCCAAAAAACAACCACAACGCAGCAACAGATTCGCTTCATCCACACCCTCGCCCACACCTCTGCAACGAGCAAACCACACCCCTTCCAGTCACCAATGTACTTCCTCCCTAGCCGTGTGCTCACTCACGCAACTGCCCTTGTACCACCGTCCTTGAGAAAAAAAACAGGGCGCTGCTGTACCACTGCTGTGCCAATGCACCCCCCTCCCTCCCCCTGCCGCACTCCATTGGTGTCCACTTATTCGTTTGATCACCACCACCACCCTCCATGCTTCACGGCTGGTTTCGCTGCTGCAAGAAGCTCGCTTCGAAGCGTCCAATACATTGTATAACACGACGAGCCCTGTCGAAATTTGCCAAGTGCTGAGCCGCACGATTCAAAATCAGTTTGTAGGCTTTCCTGGATTATTTGTGGACAAGGACGAATCTCCCACCGATCCCATAAACCCGTTTCAGTACTTCAGTTACCTGTGTTCTTGAAAAAAAACGGCCTTCGCTCAGCTTCGCATTGAACTCCCAATCTCTCAAAACCAAGTCATTCCTGTAAACCCCTTTGCCCGCCGCATCGTACGGCGGAAAGTTCCCGCCAAGTTTTCGCATTCCTCGGAGTACGCGCATCGTGGCTATTCAACGGGAAGCAATGGAGATCGAGGATGAGGTGGAATCACCTCCCCAGCACCAACGGCCCCACGATGCAATGGCTCCGATGGCGGCGTGGCTGGTGGAGGCGCGCGAGGGGCCGCTGAGTGCCAGCGAAGACGCGCTGGCGTTCGCCATTGCGGAGTGGCGGATGACCGGCGCGACGCGATCGGCGCGCATCCACATCGTGCACGTGCTCACGCATATCTCCGTCGACCGTAAGCTCGAATGATACCCGTTTTAAGCCGTCTCGAAACGAGTCTCGCCTCCCACATTGCGCACGTGCTCACGCACAACTCCGTCGACCAGAAGCCCCAATCCGCTCTGTTCTACGATACGCTTCACGCAAGACACCGTGCATACGTGTATGAGCGGAAGTCATGCCACCGCTCAGGACCGTCTGGTACCCTTACTAGGTGCGCCCGCCTGCTCCTAAGTTCCTACTTACTCTCTCCGTCGATGGCGGCAATCGTCGCGACAATGTGGCGGCCCAGCAGCGGGGCCAGTCTATCACCGCCTCTCACAACCATCCCTACCGTTATTTACTCCCTCTCGATCCCCCCTTCCTGATTCCCCCTTCGTTGCTTGCTGGCATTCCAGGCGACATGTTGCGGCTGCCCAGCAGCGCAGAAAGCCCAGCCACGGCCGTCCCCTACCCTGACTTACCCCGCACTACGTCCCCGCCCCTGACTCCCCCTTCCCTGGCAGTAACGCAGGCGACATGATGCGGCTGCCCATCAGCGCAGTGAGCCGCTCGCGACCATCCCCTACTACCGTTACTTACTCGCGTGCCTCCCGTTACTTCCGTCCTTGTTTATTATCCGGCAGGCGACATGATGCGACTGCCCATCAGCGAAGTCAGCCCGCTTACCGCGGAGACGCACGAGAGCAACATGCGCGCGCTGCTGCTGGATCCGCTCGTCAAGTTCGCGCGTAAAGACAAGGTGACTGCCGCTGCTGCGAGGCTCATTTGTTCATCCACCGGTAGTAGCAGCCACGCTCTTAGAAGCAGCATGCGCGCGCTGCTGCTGGACTCGCTCGCCGAACGCCCTCTCCGCTGCCATCTCCATTGGATCACCTCACTTCGTCCTGCATTGCATTGCGCTGCGTGCCCCGACGATGTTGCTCGCCGGGTCTCTCGGTTCAGGGTTTTTTTGTGTCGCGGTGACGGTCGACGCGGCCGGCCGACCTCCCATCGGCGCGCCTTCATCACTCCACCCTTGTGTGCCACGCGCTCCCTCCCTCCCCATCTCCCATCTTCTCTGCTCAGGTGCGGGTCGACGCCATCGTCATCCGCCCGCAACGACGACCGCACGGCAGGGCTGCTCGCATGTGGGCCTTGAGTGACCTTCTGGATCCCCTTACGCTGCTGCTGCCTTTCCAACCTTGCTGCCATCCTATCCTATCCCTCCCTACCTACTTCCCTACCTTCCTCCCTGTCCTCACCATCAGGTGGTGGTGGAGGCCATCGTCATCCGCAACGACGACCGCAAGGCGGGGCTGCTCGAGGTGGCCAAGATGCTCTGCCCGCACCGCGTCTTCGTCACCGCCAAGTAGGTGCCGCCTTGGACGGGTTGTTACTGGGGATGATGTCTCCAAGCTTCTGTTGTTGGTATGCTCGAGGTGGCGAAGATGCTCTGTCCTCACCCCGCGTCTTCGTCACCGCCAAGCACGCTTGTACTCGTTACGCTGCAAATCGTTCGTTTGTGGTTCGTTATTCTGTCTTTGAGAATTCTAAAAAACAAAACAAATCTTAACATTCCCAGCGACCCTTTTCTTTAATCTTTCAAATCTGCTACCATCTCACCCTTCTGTTTCCCCCCCCCTTAACACCTCTTACTCTCACCCTCTTTCCCCTTCCCCCTTCTTTGTGCCTTCCTCCGCCATCGCATTCATCTCTCCCCTTTTCCTTCTCTCCTCCCCTCCCCCCGTCCTCTCCCTCTCCCCCCCACAGGCCCAGCATGTTCGGCAAGCGGTCAGCCATCGCCATAATCGACGCCCTATCCGGCCCGTGGTTCGCGGCGCACCTCCCGGACAACGCGCGCCTCGTGGCGCTGCAGGGGCGGAAGGTCCTCAAAGATATCACAATCGGCAGCCCCGGGTCCGGCGCTGCTTCCCCCGCCGTGGAGCTGCCACGTGGCAGTGGCGGTGGTGGCTACGCCGCCAGTAGCCCTGCTGGCTCCGTGCCCCAGACCCCCCCGCGAGGGTTTCTGTCGCTTGGGCACTCGCGCAAGCACTCCCCCCCGCTAGAGGGGGGGCAGGGCGATTCCTCCTCTCCGCCCGGATCCTCCGCAACGCACTCAGTGAATGGTTCTGCTGCTGCTGCTGCTGCTGCTGCTGCTGCTGCTGCTGGCGGTGGTGGTGCTGCTGCTGGCGGTGGCGGTGCTGCTGCCACGTCATCGTCGTCCGGCTCGGGCACGCTCAGCAGCAAGCTGACGTCATTCTGGCGCACGAGCTCGCAAGACTTGTCCGTTTCCCAGTCCGGCCCGAGGAGCGGGTCCTTTTCGCCGGCTGCCAGTTCGCCGTCCGTTTCGCCGCCCGACGGCAGCAGGAGCTTCAAGCAGCAGCGGCGGCCGCCGTCTCCCGCTTATAAGGAGGATAAAGAGCTCAACGGGAGCAGCCACGGCAAGCCGGGGCTGAAGCCGGGAGTGGTGGTGGATGGGCGGGGGGGAGTCGCGGACCACGGAAACGACTCGGAGGGCCTGGAGGTGTCGCTGACTCCGCGCAGGAGCCGCCGCGAGGAAGCGAGACTGGAGGTGACTCTGGTGGAGGGCGACACCCCGAGGGCACAGGGTTTGGCAAGAGGCGCGTCGAGGAATTTCCGGAGAACCTCGGAGGACGGGGGAGCGGGGCTGGACGATCCAGCTTTGGGGCGGAGCCACACCACGGGCCGACTGCCGCACAAGAGCTCTGTCCCCTCCGTTCCCCCCGTCCCCTCGCCTCCGTCTCTCCCCTCTCTGCCCTCCCAACCCGGGTGCATGCTGCTAGATGCCAGCACAGTGGCTGCCGCCACGGGGAATTTCTCTGATCGCCTCTGCCTCACCCCGCGCCACCCCCTCGTGAGGGCCTACACTGGCTACATGGGCGGCATTCAGATCATTGCAGCGCAGATGAACGGCCCAGATTGGCTCCCGGGGCCGGGATGCCCCGAGGTGGAAACCAGCGTGAAGCCTGGGAGTGGGAAGGAGAGGCCCCCATCTGCTTTTGAGTCTGCAGCGCACCGATGCATTGCGCCGCTGCACCATGAGCACATCTGCCCGTTGCTCGGCTGCTCCCCCTCCCTGCGCTGCCTCATCTACCACCGTCCACCTGGCAGCTCCTCATTGGCCACGCGGCTCGCCTGCTGCGGCGCTGGCAGCAGCGGCAGTGGGGGGGCAATGAGCCGAACCAGCAGCAGTGGAAGCCTGGTGCATCGAAGCAGCAGCGTGGGGAGTTTTAACAGTCCGGATAGCACCTCTAGTGAGAGAACGGTTGAGAGCGGTTCAGGCAGCAGCATGGCTGGTAGCAGGAGCATGGGTGGCGGGTCGCTCAGGCCGCTGAGCTGGCAGACCCGGCTGAAGGTCGTGACTCAGACGTGCCGTGCGCTGACGTGGTTGCACCAGCAGGCGCCACGTGTCTCGGTGGGGTGCCTGAGTGTGGAAACCGTGCTGCTGACCCGTGACGACTCGTGCAAGTTGCTGCTGGCAGGGGCGGCGGCCCTGGCAGCGGACCCGGAAAAAATGGTGGAGAAACTGAACCGAGAGATGGGTATGGATGAGTACGTGTGTTTGGCAGAGGGTGGGGGGGAGAGGAAGGGGAGGGAAGGGCAGGGCGGGGAGAATGGGAAGGGGAATAGTAGTGCTACAGCCGAAGCGGGGGATGTGTTTGCCTTTGGCCTGCTGATTCTGCACCTGCTCACAGGCTGGGTGGACAGTGGGGCAGTCCGGCAGCTTCTGGCTGCGTGCTGGGCGGCGGCAGACATCCACCGGGCGGTGGAGGTGGTGGCGCGGGCGGCACGCCAGGCGTGTCAGGTGCAGCCGTGCTGCGATTGGCCGGAAGGGGTGTTGTATTCGCTGGCGATGGTTGCGCTGGAGTGTGCAGAGGAGTGTGAGGAGTGGAGGCCGGTGCTGGTGGGTTGTGTGTTGGACCAGGTGCTAGAAATTGAGGCGGACGCTCAAGCAGGGTTAATGAACTCGTGAATTATGATTCCCGTGCATTGAGCATTAATTTTGTACTAGCTTTATTAGTAACTACGTTTTGTATGTGAGCCTTCAGTGGCTCATGTAATATATATGGCTTGGAAAACCCGTCATTTTCTAACAAGAGGCGACGAGATCGTCTTAGGGTTGAGGAGCATTTCATGATGAGACTTTATTATACATAAAATGTTTTATTTCCATCACAACAAACATTTGATTTTTTTATTTCACAAACTTGAAAAAAAAAAAAAAAAAAAAAAAAAAAACCAGCCCGATCGATTGCAATAGGTTGCTCCGCAACTCAATAAAACAGATGAGGTAAAAGGCTTGAGTAGGAGTAGTGGCCCAACTTGGATTTGGTTGCTAACGAAATCGTGCAACTGATTCCAGAATTCGAAAGCAACCAGGTTTCAGAAAGCGACGAGCTTGTCCAGGTCTTTGGGTCGCACAATAGCGGGGTTTGGCTGGGAGAAGGCGCGCTCGCTCGGGAGTATTTGCGCAACTGCCCCAGCAATTGTGGCTGTCCCGGTGTATGAATTTCTCTATGGCGCATTCCGCGCCGCTTCCTGCGCTCCCCACGCTAGCCCCTTCGTGTTCGACGCCGCCCTCTCCCCACATTACGTCCCTGGTCTACACTGCAGTCAACGCTGCAACGGCGGTTTGGTCCCCCGCCGCTTCTCCTCGCTGCAACTCAACTCGCCGAAGCCGATTCCCCAGGGATATCCCGAGCCTGCAGCCAAGCTCTCGTTATAGTCACGTGTCCCTACAGCCGCCTTCATGCTCCCCCGCGCCGTCCCGCACATCGTTACAGTCATACTCGAGGGTTCTCTCGTCTCGAGCATCATCCCGCCGGCAGATACCACTTGCCCCAGTTGTAGCGGCGCGGCAGGTGCAGGTATCTTCTGAGCCGCGTCGCGTGGCGCAGGTGGATCCGGGAAGGTGGGATCTGTCGCCCGAATGGTGGGGCACGCAGGCGGGGGGGTGGGGCAGGGGCCCGGGCGACGAGGTGTTCTTACAACGGTCGGATTGGGGGAACGGCACCGTTACTGTCACATCGCACCCCGCGTCTGACGAGGCAAGCAGCTGAGTCCACTCGGTATGATCATCCGTCTCGTTATTATCACCCTTCTCGCTCCTCTCGCACCTCTCGTCATTTTCTCCTCTCGTTACTATCACCTCTCGTTATTACCCCCTCTCGTTATTATCCCCTCTCTCTCGTTATTGTCCCCTCTCGTTAGTATTCCACCTCTGTTATTATCACCTCCCTGGCTGGACTGCCACCTGCCTTCCTACCCTATCCCCCATCCATGGCTCTATTAACCAGCGCTAGTCCTCCCTCCGCGCATTCCCTTCTCCCTTCTTCTTTAATTCCTCCCATTCTCCCGCCTCGCTCGCCTCCCCCTTGCGCCCCCTCCCCTGCCCCATATCCCCCCCTTTCCTCCCATCCGCCCTTTGTAAAATCTCCCCGTTTCCGCCCCTCCGCCACCTCCCCCTGCGCCCTCTTCTCTTTCCGCCATCCCATCCGCAGGGCGCAAACGACTGGGAGGGGAAGGGGGAGTGCTGAAATCTCCCCTTTTTGCTCCTCAACCTCCCTCCGCTCCTCGCCCATCTGCAGGACGCGGAGGAGTGAGGAGAGGAGGAAGAGGAGGGAGGGGGAAGAGGAGGGAGGGGGAAGAGGAGGGAGGGTGGAGAGAGTGGGGGGGAGTGCGCTTGTTGCGGCATGAGTGGCGGGTGTTGAGGTTTAATGATCCCACGAGGCAGAGCGTGGCACATGTGTTCACGGCTCTCCCTCCCCTCTGCACTTCCCTCTCCCCTTCCCCCCCCCCTCCCCCTCCCCCTACATCCCCAGGGCGCGAATGAGTGGGGAGAGTGGGGGAGAGTGCGCGTGTTGCGGCGTCAGTGGCGCGTGCTGAGGGTCAGTGGATCCACGAGGCAGAGCGTGGCATGTGTGTTCGTGGCTCTCCCTCCTCTCTCCACTTACCTCTCCCCTCTCCCCCCCCCCCACATCCCCAGGGAGCAGAGGAGTGGGGAGAAGGGGGAGGAGTGCGCACATTGCGACATGAGTGGCGGGTGCTGAGGTTTAATGACGCCACGAGGCAGAGTGTAGCACGGGTGTCCACTGTGGCTGTAGATGTGACTGTAGATGGGGAGAGGGGTGTGACTACAGGGAGGGGAGGTGAGGGAGGAGCAGCAGGAAAGTGGGGCGGAGAGGGAGAGAGGAGGCGGGTGGTGCTTCAGCGGCAGCAGCCAAACTGCCTCGCATTCGAATGTGTGTCCGCCCTTATGTACTTTGAGAGTTGCCCTTATACCCCTTACCCGCCTCTCTCCATCCGGGGCTCCTTGCCTCAACCTCGAGTCTGTAGCAGCAGTGGCATTCAGATGGTATGACCTGTGAGTCGACTCAAAATTCACCTCGTTACACTGTCTCAAATCTCAGCACCAGGGGAGCTCTCAAATCTCCTGCAGTCTCCGCTAAATACTCCACCCACCGTTCACCCTTCACCCTTCACCATTCACCATTCGCCGTTCACCACTCTCCCTTTTTTTAGGCACCTTAGAAGTAGACCCTTCCCCTGCCCGCACAATCTGACCATGCAATCTTAAAGGCAATGGCAGCAGCAGCCCTCACCACTTGCCTGCGCTCCTTGCTCTCCCTCTCTCCCTCATTGCTCTCTTTCCCCCACCTCACCCTCTCTTCCTCTCCTCTCTTGCCCTCGTGGCTCAGACCTCAAGTCAATGGCAGCAGCGGCCCTCACCAGTTGCCACCTGCACCAGCCGCACCTGCTAGCCTCTTCTGAAGCCCCTCCTCGCTTGCATGTTCTGTGCCTTGGGCTTGGGGGCGGCAGTCTCCCTCTCTTCCTCGCAAACACTCTACCCTGTGAGTCTCCATGTATGCATGCCCATGCATACCCATGCATACCCATGCATACCCATGCATACCCATGCATACCCATGCATACCCATGCATACCCATGCATGCCCATGCATACCCATGCATGCCCATGCATGCCCATGCATGCCCATGCATACCCATGCATACCCATGCATACCCATGCATACCCATGCATGCCCATGCATACCCATGCATGCCCATGCATGCCCATGCATGCCCATGCATGCCCATGCATGCCCATGCATGCCCATGCATGCCCATGCATGCCCGTGCACAAATATATGCAGACCTGGGCGTTTCGCCTGCATTGCCGGCTCCCTCTCAGCCTTTGCGTGTTCCGTGCCTTGGGCTTGAGGGGGACAGCCAGCCTCCCTCTCTTCCTCGCACACGCTCTGCATTGTGAGTCGCCATGCACGCAGCCACGCACTTGCGCATGCACATGCACTTCACCATGCATGCATCCACCTGCACAAGCACTTGCGCATGCACATGCTCTTCACCATGCATGCATCCACCTGCACAAGCACTTGCGCATGCACATGCTCTTCACCATGCATGCATCCACCTGCACAAGCACTTGCGCATGCACATGCTCTTCACCATGCATGCATCCACCTGCACAAGCACTTGTGGACCAGCCCCTTCCAACCTCGGCTGCTGTCTCCCATCCCACTGTCTCCCATCCCACTGTCTCCCATCCCACTGTCTCCCATCCCACTGTCTCCCATCCCACTGTCTCCCATCCCACTGTCTCCCATCCCACTGTCTCCCATCCCACTGTCTCCCATCCCACTGTCTCCCATCCCACTGTCTCCCATCCCACTGTCTCCCATCCCACTGTCTCCCATCCCACTGTCTCCCATCCCACTGTCTCCCATCCCACTGTCTCCCATCCCACTGTCTCCCATCCCACTGTCTCCCATCCCACTGTCTCCCATCCCACTGTCTCCCATCCCACTGTCTCCCATCCCACTGTCTCCCATCCCCCTGCGTTTCCCGAGCCTCACCCTTGCGCGGGGGAGCCGTCTCCCTCTCTTGGTCGCACACACTCTGAAAGTAACTCCCCCACACCCTTCCGCCGTCTCTCCCCTCCGCTCCTGCACTTCCTCTCCGTCCTCTTCCGCCTTTCCCCCTCCCCTTCCAGCCACCCAAGTCGACGCAGTTGAGATTGACTCAGAAGTCCTAGCAGCAGCCACATGCCACGAGGGTTTTTTCCTCTCAAAGCCCTTCTCCTCTTGCCTCCTTTCACCTCTCCTCCCAGCAGCCCAAATCGATGCAGTGGAAATAGACCCATGGGCTTCCCAGCTTGGGCCGTGAGAGAGCCAAGCCAGTCTTGTTCTCTCCCCCCTTCATACCTCCAGTCATCCCTTCTATCCAGTGCCCTCTCTGCTTTTGCAGGGTGTGCTTGAGAACTCTCACAACCACCCTTCATACCTCCAGTCATCCCTTCATACCCTTCAAAACACCCTTCATAAAAACCACCCTTCATACCTACATTCATCCCTTCTCACCAATGCCCTCTCTGCTATGCTCCCCCTCCCGCCCAAGTCGACGCAGTGGAGAGCGACCCAGCTGTCATCGCAGCAGCCGCACGCCACATGCCCTCTCCCCCTTATTGTCTTCACTCCTCTCCTTCCCTGCCGCCCTCCCCTCGGATCCCTTCGCTCCCCCCCCTCTCCCCTCCCTTCCTCTTCCAGCCGCTCTCATCGACGCAGTGGAGATCGACCCAGCTGTCATCACAGCAGCCACACAGCACATGGGCTTCCCAGCATGGGCGGTTAGAGCCACGCCGCAGTCTTGCTCCGGACCGAAAGCAGCGGCAGACGCTCTAGCAGTCGACCAAGAGGCGGCTGCTGCTGCAGCAGTAACAGCGGCCGAGCGGCTACTGTGGCACGACGTGTATGAAAGGGTGGCAGTTTATAACGAGGATGCAGTGAGCTTCGTGGCAAGAGCTGCAGAGCAGATTGGAGATCAAGCAGATGGGGAGGGTCGATGGGAGCCGTACGATCTGGTGCTGGTGGATGTTTTCGACGGCTCAGATGAGACCCCGCCGGAGCTGCTGGATAGGAACGGTCCGTTCCTCAGAGCCTTGGCTCGGGTGGTGCATCCGAGGCACGGCACACTGGTGGTGGGTGTGAGGATGGGAGGAAGGTGAGTCAAGTGAGTGTGAGGGTGACTGTTGGTAACACGTGTCACGCTGGTTGGCTTCCATCCATCCTTCCATCCATCCATCCATCCATCCATCCATCCATCCATCCATCCATCCATCCATCCATACCCCCATGCCCCCCACCATCAGATGAACGTGCATACAAACATGCCATCACCATCCCTGTGGAAGTGATTCACTCTCCTTTCCTCTCTCTCCCTCCCTCTCTTTCTCACTATTCCCCCTCAATTGAATGTACCCCCCTCCCCTCCCCTTCCCTCCCACCCATTCACAGTTGAACCGCCTGCGGACACGCCATTACCATCTCTATGCGAGCGAGTGGCTCAAACAGCACCTGGCCCTTCTCTCACTCTACCGCCCGTGAATGCGAGCACCCTTCCTTCCGTCCCATCCCCCCACTCGTACACCCCCCCCCCCCCCCTCCTCCCTCCCTTTCCCTCCCCCTCCTTCAGGGACTCAAACCCCACGACTGCGCCCATGTATCTGCCCCCCCACCAGTGCAGTTTGAGTCGTCTCAAGCATCACCTGCAGCCTCCTCGTGTCCCCTGTCTCTAGCCCCCCCCCCACCATCACATGGTCGTGCACGCGGGCATGCCGCCGCCATCCTGTGAGCGCACGAGTGACTCAAGCTACTCACTGTGGGATGGTGATACGCGTGGCATGCTCAAACTGTTCCCACCAACTGCATGCTCAATCTGTTCCCACCAACTGCATGTGTGTTAGTGTTGCCTTCCATGGTCCGTGCCTCACCTCCACGCACCAGATGAACGTACACGCGGACGTGCCCTCGCCATCGCTATGGGAGCGAGTGACGGGTCGGTTCAGCGATGGGTGGGCGGATGAGAGCACAGAAAGAGGCAGGAGAATCCACACCATCTGCCGCGCTTACAGGTATATTCTGAAGACTTGAGGCGACTCAAGAATGAGGGACGGGTGGTAGGTGATTTTTAGTCGACCCTAGAATACACACCATCTGTCGCGCTTACAGGTATAATATGGAGTTCTGAGGTGACTCAAGAATGAGTGATGGGTCAGGCCAGTGGCGGATGATGAGACGCAGAATGCACAAGCCCCTCTCCCCTGTCTGCCCCTTTCTGCGGTCGGGCTGGTGACGTGACGCAGAAAGGGAGAGGGGCTCGTTCGTTCCATCTGTGGGTGATAGTTTTGAGGCGCCTCAAAGATCTTCGAAGGGTTTCATGCCATGTGCGGAGCTTACAGGTGGGTTTTCAGTGAACTCAAGTGAGTATGTGCCGCACTCATGCCTCCTCTCTCTCTCCCTCACACCCCTCCCTCACACCCCTCCTTTCCCCCCCCCCCGCCAATAACCCTCTCTCCCACGCCCCACAACCCCCTTTCCCCCCCTCCTGTCTCCCCTCTCCTCTCCCCTCAAACAGCTCTGCCCTCCTCACCACCCCCGCACAGGGCAACATGACGCTGGTCGTGCAAAGAGGGATGGTCTTTTCCCCTCGTACAACCTTCTCTCCCCCGCCTCCCTCCCCTCTCCCCTCCCACAGCTCGGCTCTGCTTGACGCTACAAGTCCTGCCACCCCCCCCCCTCATGGCACGGCATTCACAGTCTCCACCGCCTTCCAGGGCAACATGACGCTGGTTGTGCAACGAGGGATGGTGCTGGGGGAGGGGGATGGCAAGGGGGAGGGGGAGGAGGAGGGGAGGAGACGAGTGGGTGGAGGTGAAAGGAGAGGTGGCTCGAGTGGTGGAGGGAGAGAGGAGGAGGGTAGGAAGGGTGAGTTGGAAGCGAGGTTGAAGGAGGCTGCAGCAGAATTGGACGAGAGAGGCGTTGTACCCTTTGCAGTGGCACCCAGGGTTGTCAGAGGGCTCAAGGTGCTTCCCAGGGAGTGGGTGTGTTGAGGTGCTATAAGGCTTCTGAGGAAGAGTAAGGGCAACTCACTAGTGGCAGGAAAACTCAGCCCAGAGAGGGGTTGGGTGCTTTTTACAGTGGCACCCAGCCAGCCCAGGGTTATTAGGGCGGATTCGTTCGTATGAAATGGGGTCTACACCAAAGTAGGGGGCTCAAGGTGCGTCCCCAGGAGTGGAGTTGTTGGCTGGCAGGCTGCTCAGGAGCGGCAAGGGTGATGCCCTCTCTAGCTCAAGCAGTACATACCTAGTAACTGTATTTGTTGCCGTCATTGCTATGAGTGACTTGTGACCTGTACCTGCCTCACACAATAGGCTTTGTGGGTTATTGCATTGAGTGTGTCTGGGGGTTATTAGGCTTCGGCAGATGGGAACCCGGCAGCTGCTGTCCTTGCTGCCTTGGCGTGTGATCGGTATGGCTCTGTACCCACTGTTTCTAGTACCATGGTAGCTCCTGCAGTGGCACAGCAGGGAGGGATTTGAAATAAATCGTCTGATGTTGTTATCAGAAAATTGAATAATGATAAAGTGAGAGTACACACAAATATACCTAAGTGTTGTACCCTCTAAGAGGTAACCCTATACAGTCTATACAAACATGACAAATACAGATGTTTGACACACCCCCTAGACTGCATACGGGAATACCCTAAACAAGCAGCTCAGGGCGGCACTACTAGTCCAACCTCTGAGACAAGGGTCTGAGAGACCAGTCAGAAGGAGTACAGACAAGGCAAGAACAAGACCAGGGCGGCACTACAAGTCCAGCCACTGGGAGAGGACACAAGTCCAGTCTGAGTATACATATAAAGGACAGTACAAGTCAAGGTCCTAGCAAGTGAGAAGCGACAGGAACTAGACCAAGCTGTACACAGTGCCGCTGATGATCTTTAGGCGCAAGCGCCTTCGTAAAGATATCAGCCGTGTTGGCACCTGAGGCCAAGTGTACTACGCGAGCCTGACGTCGCTGCTGTAGCTCACGCAGGAGGAAGTACCGCAGCTGAATGTGCTTCGCTCTGCCCTCGAGTCGAGGCTCCTGACACAGGAGGATCATGGCCCTGTTGTCAGCGTACAGGACTGGGGCAGAGCTAGGTCGCTCACCTAAGTCAGTGAGCAAGAAGGTCAGCCAGCGGAGCTCCTGTGCCGCCATGGCACCGGCGTAGATCTCAGCCTCACAGCTGGACTGTGCAACAGACGAGGAGCGAGTAGCTCTCCACGAGACGGCACCTGAGCCAAGGCTGAAGCAGTAGCCCTGGGTAGACCGGAGTGTCTCAGCGTCGTCTGCCCACGAAGCGTCTGTGTGCCCAGTAAGGACCGCTGGCCTGCGTCCTCCTAGCACTAACCCCATGCCCGATGTACTAGCAAGATAACGCAGAACCCTCTTAGCGGCAGACCAGTGCTGCGGTCGGTGTCTGCCTGTGGCCACAAAGCGAGCCAGGATGCTGAGAGGGTATGCGAGATCTGGGCGAGTGCAAGTCATCAGGTACATGAGGCAACCCACCAGCTCTGCGTAGGGGCCGCTGGGCTCTACCAACTCCTCAGGCACTGGAGCGGAGAGCCTGTGGTCTACAGGCAGAGGGGTGGGCTGTGCAGAGGAGAACTGAAGGCTGAACCTCTGAAGGACCTGGCGCACCAAGTGTGACTGAGTCAGGGTGATGGTGCGCGCAGCTCTGTCCCTGGAGATCTGCAAGCCAAGGTAACGGCGCAGTTCTCCAAGGTCAGTGCAGGTGTGTCTCTTCAGCAGCTCTGCCTTCACGGAGGCCAGCGCGTCCCTGTCTGCTGTGGCAAAGACCAGGTCGTCGACGTAGACGAGGATGTAGAACGGAGTCTGGCCAGCACGAACGAAGAGTGAAGGGTCTGCAGAAGACGGAAAGAACTGCAGGTCAGCAAGCGTAGCACGCAGAGTGTCGTGCCACTCACGGGGAGCCTGGCGCAGGCCGTAGACGGGGCGCCGCAGGAGCCACTGGGTCCCAGGAGGGAAGGTGCCAGTAAAGCCCGGAGGGCGGCGCAGGTAGACCTGCTCGTGTAGGCTGCCCTGAAGGAAGGCAGTGGAGAAGTCGAGAGAGTGAAGCTCGTAGTCACGCTGAGCAGCTAGGTGTAACAGAACCCGAAGAGTAGTCATCTTCGGGGTCGGAGCGAAAGTCTGGAAGAAGTCCACCCCCTTGCGCTGACTGAAGCCTCTAGCCACATAGCGCGCCTTGAAGACAGGCGGCTCTCCAGGAGGGCGCTTCACCTTGAAGAGCCAGCGGCCATCGACTACGTTCACCCCAGGTGGGGGAACTGCGTCGACGAAGGTGCCGATGGATCTCCAAGATGCCATCTCCTGCTCCATGGCAGCTATCCACTGCGAGGCCCAGGGTCCCGAAGTCGCCTCAGCGTAAGTGCGAGGGGTCGGGATGTCGAAAGCGTCTGGGTCACCCTCAGGGACTAGCAGCATGGAACAGAGATGGGGAGCAGCCTCGGAGAGGAAAGCAAGCTCGAACTGGCGGTCCTCCAGGACGTCACTGCCAAGGGCAGGAGCACCCCCGACAGACGGAGGACAGGCAGGGTCAGAGACCAGAGCGGTGGCGTAGTCAAGGCGGCGGGTAGAGGCGAAGTCAGCGACAGCAGCGACAAGAGCGTCAAGGCACGAGACTGGAACAGACGGGTCGGTAACGAGAGAGGCAAGGACCCGAGGAACGAGGGGACGAGCGGCACGAAGGTAGTCGGACAACGGGGGGGGCGCAACAACAAGGGAGGACAGAGGAGGCGACGGCAGAAGGGGAGGACGAGACGCGTGTGAACGAAGCAACATAGGGTGGGAGCGCAGGACAGGCGAGGCAGGACGAGCACGGGAGGGACGGTGAGACCAGACTTGCGATGGAGGAGTCGGGTCAGGAGACAGGGGAGGGGACACAGGAGGTGAACGAGGGGGGAGACGGGCCGGGGACGAGTCCGGCGGAGGGAAAACAGGGCCGTAGACAGGAAGAGGAGGAGACGGTCGGGGAGGAACCGACGCAGGGTCGGGGGACGGAAGGCCGAGCAGGCGAAGGGCGGACACCGGCGGGGACTGCTGCTGCGGCGGCACAACGGCGACACCTGGACCGCAAGCTGCTCCTCGGCTACCACCGGCACGCTCCACACCCGCACCCCCAGAGGGACCACCCTCAGGGCGACTGGGACGAGCACCCCCAGAGTCAGCGAACGGGGGCTGCGACTGCGGCGGCGGCGGCGACGGCGACGGCTGCAGTGGCGGCAGGGACGGCGGAGGAGGGGACTGGGGAGGGGACACCTGGGGAGGGGCGGCCGGCGAGGACTGCACCGGAGGGCCACATGAGTCAGAAGACTCCTCAACCAGGTCCACGGACGGAAGGGGGGTGACATGGGAGACACCAGAGGGGGCGGGACGGGGAGGAGGAGGAGGAGGGGCAGGGACTACCGGGGAAGGGGTGACCAGGAACAGGGGGGGGGTAACCGGGGGACCACGGTGGGGGAAGCGGCGGTAGTAGGAGACGGACTCGTCAAAGGTGACGTCACGAGAGTGAAAGAAACGGTGAGACGGCGGGTGGTAAAAGTGCCAGTCGGATGTGTCAAGGGGAAAACCGAGGAAGACGCAGGGAAGGGTGCGGGCAGTGAGCTTGTTCGTGCCGGAGGCACGGACGTGAGCAAGGCAGCCCCAGACGTGGAACGCAGACGCGTCACCAGGAGACCCAGTCCACAGACGGGTCGGCGAAACCTGCGGCTGCTGAGGGTGCGGCCACAGGTTAAGCTGGTGAGAAGCGTAGCGCACAGCGAACGGCCACAGAAAATGGGGTGCACCGGCATGGACCATGGAGGTGCGAGCGACCTCCATGACCAAGCCGATGCGTCGCTCAGCGACCCCATTCTGCTGTGGGGAGTCCGGTAGGGTGAACGTCTGGGTGATGCCCTCCGCACGACAAAAGCGACCAAGGACACCTGAGGCAAACTCGCCACCACGGTCTGAGTGAAGACGCAAGACAGGGAGACCGCGGTGGACACGCGCAGAGACAAGCCAGGGGATGAGGGCGCCAGGCACGTCGGCCTTGCGCTCCAGGGGAAAGACTGTGGTGTAACGAGTGAAGTCGTCGACAAGCACAAGGAAGTAGCGCTCGCGACGCGGCCCAGGGACGGGGGCGGGGCCCCAGACGTCCAGGTGCAGGGTCTGCAGCGGCGCGACGGTAGGGGGGAACGAGGAGGAGTGAGGGGCACGGCGAAGCCGACCCTCGACACAAGGCGTGCAAGGTGGAGCTGGGGAGGAGGGAAACGCGGGGAGTGAACCTGGGAGACCAAGGACAAGACCGTGCTGGGACATGTGACGCAGACGCGGGAGCGCAGGGTGACCTAGGCGGTGGTGCCACAGGAGGGTCGGGTGAGTGAGGGAGCGACAGGAGCAGGCAGCAGCAACCTAGGTAGACACAGCCACCTGAGGGGGCGCTCCAGCCGGGGGGGGCACGGTGTCCAGAGTGAACAGGCCGGACACCGGGTCCCGGGGGAACGTGGACAGGGGGGCACCAGTGGCGGCCTCGGTACAGACAGCATACCGCTCGTGACCAGGGAACGTAGTGGTGACGCCAAGGTCCTGGAGGCAGCCGACACCAACTAGGTTCCTGGAGAACGAGGGGATATGCAGACCTGTAAGAGAGCCCGAAGGAACCGCCGGACAGGGAAGGGTGGTGGAACTGCGGGCGACTACCGGACCGCCGGAGGGGTCAGCAAGAGAAACGGCAGCAGGAACAGGAAGCGGCGTCAGGGTGGTGGAGTCGCGGAAGAAACACCGAGAGGCGCCAGAGTCCAAGGTGAAGGAAAGTGAAGCCGAGGGGTCTGGCGACGGAACGACGGCAGAAGCACCAAGACTACACAAAGCAGGGGATCCTATGACTGACGCAGCAGGGGGGGCTAAGCTAGGCACACCTACACTAGGCAACAGTGAGTAATAAGTCGGAAGCACACTAGAGTCATCAGCATACATCACATGCAGAGCAGAAACAATGGCATCCATGTCCATATCAAAGATCTGAATCTGACGACTAAGCAAACTGTGCCAGTCCGGGAGGTCTGGCGACGGGCCGAAACGCTGACGAAAGAGGTCGTCCAGGCGACGAAAGCAGCGGGGAGTGGAGTGACCGATCTTACCGCAAACGAAACCGCGGCGAGGACCGGTCTGGATCTGGTACTGACAACGCCCGCCGGAAGAGCCACCTGGCGGCACACCACCACGCGCCCGTCCACCGCCAGCTCTGGGCCACCCTGGCGGGAGAACACTCGTCTGCCGCGTCTGCGACGGCTGCTGCGGCTGCTGCGAAGGCTGCGACTGCGGCGGCTGCTGCGGCTGCTGCAACTGCAGGGGCGGCGACTCAGCTGGACTGGGCAGGGTCCCCTCGTCCGCTCCAGCACCAGGCGACCCGACCCCACCACTACCCCCGCCCGCACCCCCGCCGCCCCCTCCGCCGCGCCCAACCTTGGGGCGGCGGCCCTTCCCCGAACGGGCCTGCGC